CCGGCGAACGGCGGCGGCCGCGCGACGGTGGTGACCGGCGATCAACTTCCTCTCCCACAGAAAATATTTTCCCTCCCATGGGCAATTTTGCCTTCAATTTGGGGGAAAATGATTTCCTCTTTGTGAAAAGAGGAAATCATTTTCCTCAAAACAATGAAGGATTTGGGGGTGGGGAAGGAAAATGTTTTCCCACGGAAAACATTTTCCACCCCCGAACACCGGAAAACGCAGAAAATATTTTTTGGAAAAATATTTTTTCGCAAACGAACACAACCTCAGTCTCTCGATCAAATGGGCTTGGAAGCATGGAGGAACGACCCTGTTTTACGTCATTGTCACGCAATTAGTACGTCATAATTGTCGGTGCATTTGTAAAATAATTTGGCTTTTTCTTGGCTCGATAATTCGGCTTGTTGCACTAAACGATGCTAAAGTGGTATGAAGAAGGCAGAAGCCACCCAAGTGACGCCGACCATTCTTCCTACAGGCGCTTCTAGGGGCGCGTATTCTACACTTGCTATTGTTCATATGGATCGTGTAAAAACCATATGAATATGATTTGTACATCACGCAGAAAAGCCCATAAATCTATGGATCGGGATCCTCTAAATTTAGAGAGGTAATTAACATTATTTGATTTTTTTTATAGTCCATTTTGTTCCATTATATCAAGAGCAATTCCTCCTATTCACATGTAAATGATGACGGTAAATATCTTAACAAAGTTTCAATTCATTTTTTTGTATGTGCAAAGTCCTTTTTATTTTGCATTGTAGCCATGATTGAACTCGATGTGTCCCAAATCTCCCGAAGCCCAAGTAACCATGGCAAATCTATCAATGGTTATGATCTCCAATTGATGGTACGACAATGAAAAAGGAAAGCACCAAACGCATATACGAGTTTTCAACCATTTTGAATTATGTACTTTTGAAAGTTTGCAAGTTTGCATCCTCATTTTATAGAGTTCCGCATCTATTTAAGACATAGCAATTTTCCTTCCATAAATACTCATTCAAATTTCCTCACGCCTACCATTGTGACCTCCGACCACTCGCCATGCTAGTGTCGCCCTGTTGCCAAAAGACTTGCCTTGTGGCCCCACAAATGGGCCCACCACAGATTCTCATCTCGGCTCTTTCTCCATCTATCGCCACGCCATCCATTAGATATTCTTGTCGAGGTTATCCATGGTGTCGCGATCTTCACTCGACGTCACGATAGCCGTGAGGACTTTGATCGCAAGATTGGCTAGAGAGAGAGAGAGAGCCGATGGTGGGGGTGGCGGTCGGCAACGACTAAGGATGGCGGCAGAGTCGGACCAAGAGTTCAGACGAGCGAGTCAATCGAGGTTATAAACTTTCCAAGAAGCCTCTCTTGTTTTTCTAAGAAGGGATATGGCGCGGTCATTTCAATTGCACATTCTACGGTTGAGAATTCAACCTTTACCAACAAAAAAGTAGAGAATGGAAGTGATTAAAGTAAGGGAAAATGCAAGTATCATATCTACTATAGTTCTCTTCTCCCATGTAAATTGCCTCTAGAAAGCGCGTACCTTAGGAGGATCACGGTCGCGTGTGAATTCAAAAGAAAAGGGGAGGGGAGGGGAGGGAGAAGGGGGAGGGGAATGGTCAATCATCGGATACTCGAAAGGCCAAAATAGGAAGGAGTGGGAAATCCGATAAAGCGCCCCCCAAATTGGGCCACCCACTGTCGGTCTAGCGGTTGACACCGGTCACTCTCGTGTGCGCCTCGGACCTCAGAAACTCCCTCTCTCTCTTTCTCTCTCTCTCTCTCTACTCCCACGAGAAAGGCAACCCAGAAAAGTCGTCCCCCCGCATTACGTAACTCAACACAACAATTGCTTGCTCGCCACAGCTTTTAATAAAATCTAATCTGCGAGATTGACAGTGCCAAGTAATCCTTCTTTTCGGAGCTTTGATTTTGGTCCGACCATGCGAAGTTTCGTGATTTGGGTTTGAAGAAATGACAGTCAAATATCGTTTGCAATTTACCAGGTAATGTATAATCGTATTTCGTACGCTAACTTTGCTATTACTATGTGCATCATACTCGATGCGTTTGTCAAAAATCTGGTATGGATATCAAAATAACAACTTATATTGAGCTCAAAGGTTATTACCACGAAAAATCATAAGTTATATCCACTGCGACATTAATACCCCAAATTTTTGTTTTCTTTTGAGGTCGCCAAAAGTCCTAATAAATTTTCACTGTGACACCAATACACCAAACTTTTTTCGTGTCACCAAAACCCTCCCGAAGATTGTACTAGTTTGACCAAAATACTTTCTGCCTACACAAAAAAAAGCCCTGAACTTTGGACATTGAAAAGTTGCTGATGGATTCTGGCATTAATACCCTCCGTCACTAGTACAAGTTTGTAATATTGGTGAAACGAAAAAAAAAAGAAAAGAAAGGGTTTGGTGTTGATATCACAATAGGGAAAACATAAGGTTTTTTGTGGTAAATAAAGGGTATTTTTATCACGGCGGTACAAGTTTAAAATATTGGTGACACTTCTCACACTAGTACAGATTCGGTGATTTGAGTGACACGATAATAGTTTGGGGTACTGGTGTCACAATGAGCATAATTTAGGATTTTTTGTGGTATTTTCCCTGAGCTTAATGACGTCAGAACGGCAGTGCATCGCTAGCAACACGAACTTGTGCCGTATGAAAAGGAGAAACTCTTAAAAGTAATTATAACCATTGATCACGTGGGGTTCACATGATTAACAGTTAGGATGAACACAACATCTATGCTCTCAGGTACGGACAAGAATTTGATAAGCTTTTTGTTGGACCGAGGTCTATAGATGCAAGCAATCACCGCTATCGATTAACGGTGGTTAGGGGTGTCAAATGGGTAGGTTAGGTTTGGGTTGGGTAGAAAATGGTCATATTCATATTGACCCATATTTATGCAATACAATTTTGATGACCCAGCCGACTCATATTACTAAAACACATCCATACTTAACCCTAACTATGAAAATAAATACAAACGCATTTTACCCACTTTAAGCTCTTCATGTCAATGTGTTTCTCAGATAAAATTTTATATCAAATTAAAAAAGTAAAATAACAAAAGAAGAAGATGTAAGTAAATAAAACAAAAAATATATATAAAAAAATCAAAGATGCCGAAACCGCCCTCGAAGAGCTTGAAGGGGAAGACAATCTGCTGTAGCTTCACGGTGTCAGAGACACCCTCGAAGGTGCCAAAGCGGCCGGCGATGGTGAGGAAGGTGCCCTAATATGTGAGGTAGGGGCCTGGACGGAGATGTGCCTGTAGTTGCCAAAGTAAAAGCTGTAGATGGCCTCGTAGAGATCATCAGCCTTGTCAGGGAGGTTTTGGATGAGGACACAAAGACCGAAGGTGATGCTAAGGTAGCGCCGGAGGTCACCGGGGTAAAGCTTGTTAGTGAAGGGGATGAGGTTTCTGAGGGAGTTGACAGCCTTCTGGCTCAACCACTCTTTAATGTGGGACTTCTTTAACATAACTCATATGTGCATCTCAACAATCTTCCCCTCACGTGTGAAGTCAGTGTTAGGTTTACTCTCTCTTAATCCAGGTATCCTTCTACATCAAGATATCTCAATTTGAATCTCCATCAATGCCCAACTTCATCCCTGGTCTTTTTTTCCAGACCGAACCATGAAGTCTGTCATCAGGCCCACATTGCAACACCACAACGTCCACATGCTTGGAAACCACGATGGCCACCAGATTTCTTGCTTGAGATATTTAACAAACACCGATACACATTGAAAGTGGGCCACTGATCAACTATCGACTCTGATACCATTTGTTGGGAGCGCGCAGCAGAAGCCCGATACCTTTTGCCTTGGAAGATCGCAAAGATGGAGCCCAAGTCCGAGTCCATCAACATATCTAATCAAACCCATATTCACTCAAAAGCTTAGGCCAATTAATTATGAGCCAATTTAAATATATTAATTGTTCCATATCACACCAATTCTTTGATGTGGAACTTCTCTAACAGAACTCAACGTGCATCTCGACACTATGCAGCTGCGCACATGTAGGCAATGTCCCCTAGCCACGAGATCACCGTCAACGTCGACCACGCTGAGCTGTTCTGCTAGGTGTGCCGCGATGAGGTCCACAATCGCAATTTTAAAGAGAGACCTATTTTGCTGGGCTAAATGGGTTAAATATGGGTCATAAGCAAACCCATCATAACCTGATTTTTAGATTTTTATTTTCTTCTTAACCCACTTAGGCCCATTTTATAAAACACGAGTTACTCATATAAAATTAGGCCTCTTAAAACTGAATTACAAAATGGGAAGCTCTAATGGCTATGATAGACTCGATTCATGGAAATGCGAATCCCCGCACAAGGACTCGCCCGAAGAATTTGCCCGTTTGAAGCCGTGAAAGGATGGCCTTATACGGCGGTCCACACGGTCCTCAACATTGGATCCCATTTCGGTAGTGTCACCCTCTTTTTGACCGTGCGGTGAATTTTCAAATCCAAAGGGTGGTGAATGTGAACGAATGGACGTGTGGGTAGGCGACAAGAATTATCATCGATCACCTCATTCCCTTTTGACGAGGAGGCCTTCGGAATTATCCACCAACCCCCCACATGCCGACCCATGAAAAGAAACGACTGAAAAGAATTTCTGAAGAACTGCTCCTTCTTTACACCGTGCTTCCGAGGTTAACTCTGCCAAAACTACTTTTAGTTTTTATCAAGACCGCGCTTAATCTGGTCTCGCGATTGATTTCATCACTTTCAGAACAAGGAAACAAAAACTAAACAAAAATATGAGCAGCCGTTGGCGTTTTTATGGCAAGGGCAACACCTACTTGTATGAATGTAACCTTGGTGTAATCTCTGCTCAGTTTCTGCAGATTCTTCTCGCCTTTGTTTTCCTTCTCTTAATTCCATGGACTCCTTAATGACACTCTAAGCATGTAGTTTTGCCGGCGCTCGCTCGAGATACAGAAAATTAATTTACATTCAGAAAACATGAGTAGCAGCAGGACAAGTTCCATAGCCCGTGTAATTTCTCAGAGCTCATTTATGTACAGCACAGCTACAAAAAATGAAGATGAAGGAAGACCACTTTCAGTAGCTTCTCATGACACCAACGATATCAGAATCGAACCCCCCGGTCTTTAACCTTCCCTTTATTCGCTTCCGTGCATCCGCTTTCCCTCTTCGGGATGCATTCTGAGTTCTTTTCTCGTGCCTGGAAGAAGGAACATTCATCTGCTTTCATAAAGAACAAGATTTATGTTGACCACTATTAGCCTTTTTCTTTTCTTGCCATAATTTCGATCAATATGAGTCTGAAAAATCCCTGTACTTAGGCCACAGGCGACATGGTCCTGCTAATTTCTGGATATATATAGCAAAAGCAGTCTACACTTCCAACCTTGCCTGCTCACGGGCATAGGTGGCAAATTTGTGCGAAAACAAGCACCTTAAAATGACACGTTGCACTAATGAACATACAGTATTTCGGTTATTAACGTGACAAGAGTGATTTAGTCCAGCAAAGTCAATATGTTCATGATTCATCAATCATATTCGGAACTAGTTTTTCCTACCACAGTCCGGATATGACACTTGAGTTATGCACACCTCCTTTTCAGTTATAAGAGTAGTATAAATTAGCATATTTTTTAAAGCAAGTCAATAGAAGAACTCAATATCATCGGGAGGACACATTGCATTGTTTAGGTCAAAATTAGTGCTCACCTTCGAGGTTTCTCTCTGTCTGTATTACTCATTATGTCGGTTTCTCTGCCATTCCCCTCAATGATGTCCTCCTCATGCAAGTCGCATTGTTGTTCTCCTCGATCGATGCTGGGTGAAAGGCCGCTTTCTAAAGAATCTAAACCGGTGCTTTCTGTACTGAGCCTTGAAATTGAGGGTGACAACGTCGAACAAGATCGTTGAATGGAAGGGCACAAGTCCAAGGTCCCCTGTTGTATGAAATTAACCTGGTTGGTAAGGACTGTGTCACCATCCATAACAGCGGTGGCGCCGAAGCTAACAGATGAAGCAAACGAAATATCCTGTCATAGAAAATTACATTCTGCTGTGAGATACACATTATAGAATCCGAAAATTCGTGTTACATGAGGACTAAAGTATCGAAAATCATCTTGCCAGGCCTGCCAGAAAATTGATGACAGCATTTTATCCAATCAAATGAACTTTGACCAAATTTGAGGCCATTTATAATTTGTCTACCACCTCCAGTTGTCTTCCTCGATCCACTGCTTCAAGTGCACAACACAAACAACACATTTGTTGTAATTTAACGAGCACTTAACAGTTTGTCAAAGGGAATTCCTGTATTTCCGAACCTCTAGGCTTTTGTTTCCAAAATCCAGACTAGAAAAAAACACCAATTTGTGATAGCTATCCCAGACCATCCCGTGGCAGTACTAAGTGTGAACTAATTGAGCACGTTGCTTGTACTTCTTATTAGCTGGTCTGTCATATTCAGCAGATTGTCACAATAATGTGTTCTTTTAACTATTCATACTCTAAGAGAAACTATTATAATTCAGTAACCTATTGCTTCTGTTATTTCCTGCAGTTTGTGATATTTTTCTTCTCCTCTTTTCTTGGTCCGCGTTTGTGCGGTTTTGGGAAGGTGGAGGGTGGGGACAGAATCTAAAATCTATTACCCTGCCATATGATACTCCAACTGGGAAGTTGAGTCGTGGTAATTCAAAAGGTTCTTCCTTAAGAGGGTCGTTAGTAAAACCTTGAGTAGCTTGGCATTGCTGTTCTCTGAGTCATCAACAGGAACAACCTTGTCCACAGAAGAACATGCCAGCTCACTTTCATCGAGCAGAGCTCTGATTGTGTCTTGCTCTCCTCCAAAAAGTTCTTCATAGTTTTGGAATGTCACATCAACTTCCGGAATGTTGAAATCGTCATGGCAAACAAGCTCTTCGCATATCCCAAGATCTTGCATATTTTGGGCCCAAAACTGCACATCAGTGGCTTCATGAGTAGTAATACATCATGCAGATGAAGATGAACCTTAACCAGAGTAGATTAAAGAAATTCCCTTTCTAGCGTTATTTCTGCCATTAAAGCACTGGCACTTCTCACTGAAGGCTTTTAGGAAAAAGTACCATATATGAAGCCTATTACATTTCACCTTCTTGTTATCAGCATCTTAGCTGCACTTCTTTCGTCACCACTACATGCAACTATGTGAAGAAGCAATAGGAACAACACGACCAAAAAATTCATAAGAAATGAGCATAAGAACCACAAAACTCCGTCCGAAACTCCTACTGAACCTTTGAACTGTCTAAGCATATTTATGATTATGAAGTTGCTCTTGTTCAATGAGATATTTCGCCTGAACTTGTAATCAAAGTGGTAAATATATTTAAAGAAGAGGAAACTCCCTTATAAATGAACACTGCATATCACATGGAAAACTGAATCGAGAAATAACATGCAATTATTATCTACTGCAGACTCAATGACAATGGTCAAACCTGACTAGTCTGAAAAGGGCTTCTGCATTGCCAGATGGATTCGCTTTGCCAAGGACTAGGAGTACCAGAAGTTGAAGATGATGGTAAATTCCCTAGTGTGGAAAATGTTGAAGGAAAGGTCTCCACTTTCCCAGAAAGATCTTCGCAGCTCTGCAAACTCTGATCAGTAGTCTCATTGAACTTCCTTGGACTATGAGAAAATGACAAAGACAAATCATTTTGCTCTTGATCACAAATCAAAGATAAGATGTCCTTCTTCTCATTTAGTTGAAGCTTTCTCAAGTCAAGAATCTGTCGCATAATGAAGCAAGACGACTGATTCTGTTGACTATCGTATGATGTCTGAAAAAAGGAGGAGAAACAGACACAGGAACAGTCATTCTATTTGTCTGTTTAAGACTAGCAGTATGCAAAAAAAGCTCAAATCGGCCACGTAGAACTCAACTTGAAATCTTATGATGACTGGTTAATCATCACAAAAAACTGACAGAGCTTATACAATTGACAATTATGAAAATATGCCTACCTTAGCTCTTTGTTGATTTCTTGATCCAACATTACATTCCCCTGGACAGACTGAACCTGAAGTATCCGCAGTTATTGTGCCCAAATCCACGAGTTCACAGGAAGACGAATCAGATGGACCGGTGCAAGCAAGATCGCCCAATTGGCTCAAGTCTAAGTCCCATAATTCTGCAAAGTCATTAGCTGAAGGGGATCCCATATAACTGCTGATTGCCTGCGTCCGATGCTGACAAGACCCATCGTGGATCCTCCTGTCACAATTACGACAGATATACAACTTGTGGTCCAGACAGTGAGTGTACGCTGGGCGGTACCGGCAAGAATCGCACAGGAGAGATCGGAGATGGCGGTTAGACAGTGCATTGGCTGAATGAACTTTTGCATCACAAGAGAGGCAAAGTCGTGCTGCATCGGCTTGACAGTAGATGACGGGCCTCAAAGCCATGCAGAATTCACAGACTTTCTCCATGTTTTCTTTACTTTAGATCATAAGCTTCAATTTTCTGGTGTCACGATTCTTTATGCCAAGCCCATCCAAGAGTGTTTAGCAAAAGAAAAAAAACCCATTTAAGAGTCATTACCATTATACGCCTTCATATAAGAATTCTTCTTGCTAATGTTAACCATCAACTGGCTACACATGAACAAATGAGTCAACTAGATTCAAGAGGGGAAACGGGAAACCAGGCATCCAGAACAGAACCATCAAAACAGACATGATCATGGCTTCAACACCAGGCTTATGTAGCCATCGAATTGTCAAGATCCGAAGGATGTTTTCCTAATGATTAAAAAGCAGAAGTCCCATGCATCTAAAGCTCGAGAAACTTCGGTCCTATTATAGAAATTAGTCGAGGCTTTTCATCTATGATGAGAATTACATTTAAATTACCCATCTAAGGAGATAAAGAAAGTAGCTAGTAAAAAGAATAGAACCAATCAGATCATACTGCATATTGCTCAATCCCAATGTGCTTTAACCTTTACTGGATAACATGAATATAGCTTCGCGATCCTCACTGTCTCATTATAGCAAACGAAAGGCGCAAAAATGCGAGAGAAGTTTAAAGGGTGTCGCAGGGCCGGATCAAAAGCCTAGAGAAATCATTTTTCGAAACCATTCCTTAGAAAAACAAAAATCTTTTCAGGAAAATGTTCTGACCTGGGAACTGTTCAGCTCTTTTGAATATGTATTGCTAGAAGTGAGAATTTCAGGCGAATGTCGCACCAGATAATCAACAACGTTCTGAGACTTCAATTATACGAGCCAAAGTCAATTCAATCACACAGATCTCTACAGTTCTTTTCAACGTGCATGCAGCTAAATCAAAACAGAAAAATGAAAGGAAAAAAAGAATCCAAACACTCTCCCGAGTCACAACAACATAGGAAATGAGGATCATCTTCTGCAACTCAACCTATCAAGAGAGAAGACTAAAAGAAGCTACCTGTCTGCTTCGTGAGAAAATCAGGAACCCAGCTTTTTTCCTTTCCTTTCGTTTTCCATTTCCCCGGGAAAGTTCATCTCTGACTTTGGAGCTTTATCTCCCACACTCCTCTTTTTCTCTGATCTCATCTTTGCTTTGCCCCAGCCAAACCTTTTTGTCCGACGTGTCAGCTCCGGGGGGGCGTGAACTTTCTTACGTGGATCGCGACACGTGGGCTGCGTGGGCCCCGCTGACGTTATCTGGGTTTTGCGCATGTGAAGCCCCGTACCGTTATCCGTTAGTTCGGAAATGCTGCCCAATGGACAATCGCCACGTGGGAAAAGCAGTGCGGATGACGGTTGGCTCTTTTGGGACCAGTGGTCTCGGAAGAGAAGCAATGCTCTAAGACTGATTTTATAAACTTAATGCAATAAATAAGGTGTCAAGTTGGAAGTAAGCATGCAAATAAGCAGATCATTTCAACGCTTGAGGGAATTATATCACGATACTTAGTACACGAACGAGTTGATTGAGTTGATTTCTGTAGGCGCAACCTATCTTTTTGGTTACACACGTGTTATCAGTAACGATCCGGTCGACGAGAGCAGAGACTTGTCACTAGGACTGCTCGGATAAGGAATAGCTCTTGGTAGGCTTATAGGATGACGAAGGGACGAAGAATAAACCGAATTACAATGTGATGATTCTGCGGTCAACATGGGCAGCCTTCTTTTAAATTGCTCCTAAGGAAAGGTCTTCATATTTCGAGGAACATCAGATAAAAAGAATGTCATGCTTTGGACATGCCTTTGATTGGAGGCAAAATACGTTAATCCAATCAACGGCATGAATTGAAGAAGAACTCCAGCTCATAAATACCACTTCCAATTGTCTAAGTTTTTGTATGATGCGATTTTTTTATGATGCGAGACATCGATTTATTGGAGTTATGGCACAAACAATCTCGTGCACATCTAAACAATTGTATTGCTGTGTAAAAAAAGAAAATCTTTGGCAAAAGAGGGGGGGGGTGGTGGACCGGGCTTGCTATGAGTAGGGGTGAGCAATGGTCCAGGGTTGACCCTAGACCGACCTTGGACCGGCCTAACCCGGCCGGTCCTAGTCCGGTTTCCAGGAGGACTGGGTCGGTCCTTGGTCCTGAGATCTCTGGACCCTGCACTGTGTGGTTGGTCCTTGGTTCTGGGAGTTCAGGGTTGTTCAAACCCGGACCAACTCTATATATATTTTATTTATTTATTTGTTTTCCAAAGAGCCTAAGGCCCCTCCTTCCTCTTCTTATGGCGTTGAAAATAGAAACCCTATTGACTATTGAGCGTCGCCTCTCTTCTTCCCTCGCTTCTCTGTGGCTGTTCGCTAGATTTGCCTATCCTCGCTCGCCTCGCGAACTAGCTTGCCTCTCTTGGCCCACCTTAGCGCCTCACGAACGGTGAATGCAAGTCGCTTCACTTGGCCCTCCTTGGCGTCTCACAAATAAGATATGAAATTGTTTGTTTTGTTTTCAAGTGTTCAGAAATTGAAGCAATCTTTTGAGAATGAACAAGATATGAAATTGTATAATTTATGATTTATGTTATGTATTTTGACCATTTTATTTCATGTGTTCGTATACTACTAAGTGGAGATTTTTTTGTTGCGTTATCTTAGATTTTTATTTGATTTATACCGGGATCCATATTTTGGTTACTCAATATTGCATTGTCAACGAATATGTATTTTCAAAGTGTACCGTTTGTCCTTTCAACGAATAAAAAAAATGAAACATAAAAAAATCGATTGGTCCCGAGTTAACCCCGGAACCGGACTGGACCCAGAGGGTCGGTCCAGTCCTCGGTCCCAAGCTTAATAGGGTCGGTCCTCGGTCCCAAAAATTGGGGACCAACATTGTGCGGGTTGGTCCCAGGGTTAGGTGTTGGACCGGTCCAATCCGAACCATGCTCACCCCTAGCTGCGACTACCATTCAACATGATGCGAAGCTACTACGTTTCTCTTGAATCACTGAATGTTTCTGCACATAGCATTCGTGTACAACTACACTGAATTCAAGTATCTATGTTGGTTATGGGACCTCTAAACCAATGCCGGGCGCTGAAGACCCAAGAACAAACCGTAAGAATGAACAAGCCGCCGACTGCAACGGGAGTATAATTGAGTGTCTCTTGCTTGATGGGGTAGGCCACGGGCAACGAGAAGAGAACCGAGATCGTAGCCACCCAGAGGACCGCGGTCCAGCCGACTACCACCCCATACCGACCCAAGTTGAATGGCCCCGGGACAAAGGACTTGCGGGCCAATGTCACCCTGAAGAAAATCGGGAGGGCATAAGCAATGTACAGCCCAATCGTCGCTATGGACACCATCGCGTCAAAAGCTACAATGCTTCCAAGAGACTGCAAAACAGATTGAAGAAGCACACGGATCAGCAGATTGAGGGATGCAGAAAAAGTTGATTGAATTGGCCAGGAAAAGCTAAAGTGGCTCTTAGTTGGATCTTTCCACATCAAGAGATCAAACAGAAATGTACCCGAAGCAGGAAATAGAAAATTCAAGGGGTGAAAAAGTAAAAAGATGTTCTTACGGTCAGCGCCATGCAAAAGGATATAAAAGCGGAGAGCCAAACTGCATTTATCGGGACCTCGTGCTTATTCACTTGATGCCACAGTGATGAATATGGCATCGCTCCATCTCTAGAAAATGCATAAGCCATCCTGAGAACGACATTTTGCATCACATGAGTCTACTAATCAGAGTCAATCCGATTATAATTCCAGAGAGAAAAATGTTTACCTGGAATTGCTGGTGACTGAACTCATGCCACAGAAAAATATGGCGACAGCGACCACCCCTAGGCAAAGTATACCCCCAACTCCGCTGCCGTACCTGCCTTTGAATGCTAAATAGAATATTTCGGCAATTGCATAACCAGCAGCATCATTCTCATCGCTTAGGAGATATGGGATGTTTGTCACTGCAAAGGTGATACCTACTAGGTAACCCCATCCAAAAATGATAGATATCCCGATAGAACTAATAATTCCTTTTGGACCGTTCTTATCAGCATTCTTGGTTTCCTCTGTCTAGAAAAAGGATATGGGAAACAGGATTTCAGTTTCACACGTCTAAACATTTAGGTGATCATGAGGAAGATAAAAGGGCTTGAAGTAAACTAAGCATCTGATCATATCGTATTTATAGGATATGGTCAAGAGAATAGGCGGAATCTCAAAGAAAAGTGGAAGGTATTAATTTAGCAAGTAGCTATACAATGTTCCCATCAACTGTAACTTAAAGCTTCTGAGGATCATTTTGAGCAAATTCCCTATGTCATGAGGCTTTTCTGATGACTTCATCTCAAAACCCCGTTTAAGTCTTGTGCGTGCAATGATTTTATTCCCAGAGTTGAACGAAAAAAATTTAATGAAGGTAGACTTACCATGTGAGCAGATGCATCATACCCAGTAAGTGTATACTGACTCATTAGAAGTCCGAGAACAAATATATAGACTCTGCCGTCAATACCTTCCCCGTTATCAGTGTTGAAGTAAGTGAAAACAAACTTGGCACTAGCCCTTTCCTTCGCAACACAGGGGATGAGAATCATGAGAACAACAACACCTGAAACCAGGATGCCAAGGCTTGTAAGAGGACGAAGGAAAGGATCGCTAACCAAATTGAGAAATTAAGCCTCGTGAAATGTTCTTGCAGGGTTTCGATTCCTCACCTACAAGATTCCAAGCGGCAGCTAGCTGCCCAAAGAAAGATAAAACTGAAATAGGAAGACTGTTTATAATAGCGTGAAGGAGCAGAATTCCACCGTGGAAACCAATAACAACATATTTCGATGCCTCATATCCGCCGCCATTTTTACCACCAGTGCTTAGGAGAATAATAACCTGAATCAACTGTGCCAGAGAGAAATCTACGCTAGTTGTGACTGCCCACTGCAAAAGAAAATATACCAGAAATTGTTAGAACTGGTGAAAACTTGGGATTACTGAGTATAGCAAAGGATTTGATGTTCCATAGTAAGGAGTTTTCAAAAGTACCTGACCAACAATATTGAACCTGAAAGAGAAAATTTGTAGGCATGTTAGGAAAGATGTCATTTGAAAGAAAAATTCAGCTCTTACAGATTGAGAATATAGATTGGAAGCAACAGCCAGATACTTGCACATAGTTGGATAAAGAACATAAATGAGAATGTCTGGTTGCATGACAGAGGAAAATCCATCTTGAATCGGTATAATCTAACACCGAGCGTTTCGAGTTTATACTCCTACCATGAAAATTTGACTCTTTTTGCTGAATTTGCTTGACATGGCAAGTTTCATGTGGTCAGTCTGATTTATATATCTTAAAATGCAAGTATAGGACCACTGTGTCTTATTTTCTGTTGACTAAGTAAATGGAACGGCATATTTAGGACTCGTGTCAAGTTGGGACCCAGACATTCAGAATTTTCTCTTAAAAACCATTGCCAAATAAATGGGATCGTAAGGAGTAACGAATTACTCCGCTTTTCCTTAACTTCCTCCAGTCAATCTTGCTGCACGCCGTAATGGCAATGCACAATTGCAGTTCATGAGAGGGTCCAGCAGTACACACAATATAACAGGTTTAAGCACGACACAATAACACTTCCATGGTTGCACTGCTTTTATGTGATGCATCTCCAGGTTTACACTAGAGCTATTGACTGCAGTACTTGCACCTCGTCAGGTGGAATTTCAGCCTACCAAACTAAAGAAGGGATAGCTATTCAATGTATTTAAGCTTTTTGTATGAATCACACTCGTCTGTCTTCACTTTATTATGTTCAAACTATACCCCTACCTATCAACAAAGTTACAGCAAACTAGGGAGGCTGTAGGGAAAGGAGTCGGTTTCAATGTTCCAAATGCTGCCACTGAACCTCACCCTATGTTGGCTGCATTTCACGCTGGTTCATGGAAAACGCAAGATCGTGATCATGAAGGGAAAGGGACAGCAATGAGACAATCTCGATAAGCTTTCTAGAATGTGAAAGGACTTGACAAAATCCAACCAAAAACAAGCAACTATTACCGAGGCACCAGCTAGATCCAAGCAATCACTTATCAAGGAAAAGTGACACCGACGCCAGACCCCACAAAAGAATATGCATTCCTGCTCAATAGCGATATTGTGATAGACTTTATCCACTCCATCGAACACAATTACTCGTAGCAACAATGATACTGGAAATGAACGAATTCAATTCGCTAATACAGGATCTAGGATAATAGGGAGAAATTGGGGTCTCCATTGAGGGTATTAGTATCGAAATCTGCATAAACACTTATGCCATCACGAAACTAACCGAAGAACAATTTACCAGCCAGTCAACCAAGATGCGAACGGCGCCCATTTCCGGCCCGCGAGCTTGGCGCTCCAGTAATAGAGGCCCCCGGAGGTTGGGTAAGCTGAACAGATTTCAGCCATGGACGACCCGACAAACATGGTGAAAACACCAGCAAGGAACCACCCGTAAACCATGGAGGCCGTCCCACCGTATTTTAGCCCATTGTTGTAGAGCGTGGTTATGCCAGTGAGCACCGATATAATCGAGAACGAAAACGCAAAGTTCGATATCACCCTGCAACAGAAATTTTATCCCACCAAACCAAACCAAAACGACCCAAACGCCTCAGTGAAGAACCCGATGGAAGGACCCAATCCGAGCCAAAAGCCCAGAAGAAAACTATGGAGGTACACGAGAGAGAGAGAGAGAGAGCGTTACGAGAGGTCGCGCTTGAGCTCCTGCTTGTAGCCGAGCTCATGCAAACGGGCGTGACCCGAGTCAACGGCGACGCCACCGTTTTGAGCTGCATGAGTCGGAAGGTCCCTCTTATCATGATCATAAACCATCTTCTTCTTCTTCTTCACACAGCCCAGAAGAAGAGAGACTGTAAAAATGCTCTGACCAACCTCTCTGTTTCTGTTTCTGCTCCTCCCCCTCGAGTTTTTCTTTCTTTCCTTCCTTCCTCTTTCGGTGGGTTTGATGAGTTTTGGAAAGGAAAAGGGAAGGAAGGAAGAATTCCAATTTCAGAGGAGCAATCCAATTAAATCAGCGCAGCAAAGTCACCTCGAAATATCAAAGACAGTGGCTCTGTCCTTGGATTGCAACTCTTGAGGAGGATGGTCAAACAGAGCAGCCAATAATTGGAACGAAGGAAGAATGAAAGAAAGAAAGATGCGAGCACGTGATGGTGACTCTTTGAGACATTGCTTCTCATCTCAGGTCGCGTTGATACCGCTAAATCTCGTTCGGATGTCATTTGTTTCTTGATTCTTTGTATTCTTGGTATTCTAATTATTGGTCAATGCCTACTTTACATTTTACGGTTCTAACTAACCCGTATAACAATTAAATTCATTAAATATGAATTAAGAAATTGATTTATTACCCATTTCGGTAGATCTAATCAACGATGGATAAATCTACCTTGTACTTTAATATTAAGGTCCAGATCGAATTATTTGTGTACGTGAACTCCTTCCTCCTCCTTTCTTTTGGCGAAAGAGGATCGGATCCGATCAAGTATCAAAGATTCAATTAAGTTTTTCTCTGTCCTTTCTCCCGACGAGCTCCAAAGTGCGACGTCGTGCCCCGTTCATGTCACTTTCTGTACCTCTGGCTAGCTACTCCTTCCTTGGAATGCGTAGCTACATGGGAGAACTGTCTAATATTTGAACATATCGGACACTGTATTTTTTAAAACCAAAATCTTACTATTTATTTACTTTAATTTTTCTAAATTTTACGGAACCCAGATATTACAAGTTCACATATAATAATTGAAACTCATGTAGAAATTTAATTCTCAATGGGAAAGAAAGAAAAGTTGTTAAACGGAAACAAACTAATATTTTCGTGTCATTATCACGGCTAAGTATCAAGTCCCCGGTATCCCAAAAATGTATTTTCGCGCGATGACTAATTGAGGTTACCATCTTCATTTCGACATCTTTCTATAGAAAATTGAATTGAAAATGGCCTATTTGAATCGAGTGACGAGTTTTCTAACAACATGCTGCGTGGCCATGCCCGGCAAGTCAACAAGATGATCGCACGAAATTTCTCTTCACGAACAATTTTTCATAGTTGGGGTAAGATTTTTCAAAGTGAAAGCACCGCCGCTTTGGCATGGAGATGGAGCTTCGACGGCACCAACGTGTTTCCTCAGCAACCGCGCGAAAAGTCAGAAAATTATACATTGATATCAGCAAAGTTGACCAAGGGACGATTCAGAAAATTCGGCTCCCACGTGCTTTTGAGCTGGCGCAAACGTGCGTGCTAAAACTTCGAAACGGAATCTGAACCTTTGACCCAATAAGAAAATCTGAATCTTTGACTTAATTTTCTTTATTTATGTGGGAATGTGATGGTGTATGGTTGGCAGATCGATCTCGCACGTAGCAAAGCATGATGTTACCATACGATAGGACGACAACAGGAGGAGAAAATCATTTCCGGATCCAAAATTGGTCTGAGCCTGACGATCCGGACCACGTTCGATGATTTTGTACCGGGTCATACAACGGGCCCTGTCTGTCTGCATCCAAACCGTGCATCGTTGTCCAAATTGGGCTACATCATCACGGGCCATTCAGTTTTTGTAGCTGGATTTAGATCAGGCACTGCGCCAGGCAATTTCCAGAAGGTCTGTGACTGGAATGCCATGGAATTTTGATACCGCAAATAGGACTGATCGGAACCATACGGAATACCCGACTAACTTTGTGGATCCAGTGCGACGCTGGCCTAAATTCGAAGTGGGGCGGGTCTAAGCGCGATTACTGTTTGCACCCGGTTCGTCTGTCCGGTCCCCGCGTACGAATTCTGTTCCTAACCGCTAAACTAGCACCGGAGTCGCAAATTCTAAGACTCTACCTACGAGGATTTTCGATGCCATGCGGCTCGATTTCGGGTTCTGTTTGCGGAGACTGCATCAGATGTGTCATGTGCCTATCTAACATGTTGCTGCGTCTAAGATCGGTGAAAAAGAGAGAGAGTTAATGGCGTACCAGCCGGTGAACCACGAAGCGAGGGGGCCCCACTCAGTCCCGCAGAGCTTGGCGCTCCAGAAGTAGAGGCCGCCGTAGGTCGGGAAAGCGGAAAAGATCTCGGCCATTGAGAGACCGACAAGCATGGTCATCGTGCCCACGAATGGCCAACCGTAGATCATGGTCAAGGGTCCGCCATAGGTAAGGCCCGTCCCATAGGTGGTGGTGAGACCCGTGAGTACCGATATTATGGAGAAAGTCACGGAGAAGTTGGCGATCGCCCTGCCCAAAACCACAAGGACGACATTGTATACTTTGAAACAGTACAAGAACTTGATCGAATCAATTGAAAGTTCATAAGTGATGTTGCACGATTAGATAAAAATATGGAGAAAAAATAAAATCGATAAAAAATTCAAGCATGACGTTAGACAATAAACAAAAGGTTCAAACAAAGACTTCCTCAATGCCACCAGAAACCACACTCAACATAACAAAATGACAGAGAACATGTACTTAAGCAAAATGACTCAAGCGTATTCAATCATTTCAGCTCCGACGAGAAAATAGAAACAGACATGAAGAGAGATGTGTCCCCAGAAAGGAGCATAAGACCCAAATCGAAGCTCTCATTCAGAAACCGATCACATCTCCACGGATTAACGCCCAATTTCAGGAATAAACATAGAGAGAGAGGTTGGTGGGGGGTTACGTACGAGAGGCTGCGACGGAGCTCTTGTTTGTAACCGAGCTGCTTGAGTCGAGAATCGTCGGAAGCATCAGTGATGGCATCGCGGCCCCATCCGTCGTGAAGGAGATGGTATTCATCGGCTGCCGAAGATGCGTCTTCGAATTCAACCCCATGGCTCGCCATGGTCAGTCCTCCAGTCCTCCGAGAAGGAAGAAAGCCTCAGAAAGGAAGAGGAGAACGATCGGGTCTTTTATCAGCGATTCTCTCTGACTTTATCGATGGATGAGTAGTACGCAGGAGTTGAAAAGGGATCAAAGAAGTGGAGAGAATGATGATGGTGATGATATGGGGGATAACGTATCTAACATTCCAACAACTTTTCCTTGAAATTAGTGAAGAGATCTATGTGGTGTGAACGAGTGGTAGTTTGACGTAGGGTCAGCGATTTCAGGTTCTTTACAAGTTTCACATGAAATTTGGAACCTACCCTCAAGTATAAATTCCTCATTTTTTGGAACCTGGAACCTAGAACTTAGAACCTACTCGTCGGAAGCTGGAAGCTGGAACCTACCTTGTCACAGGTTCCAGGGTCTAACAGATTTTTTTTTTCATCAAAACGAACAATACTAAGCAAACTTATCATTCATCAAAGAGAATACATAATACCAATTCTCCTAACACTACGGTTCAAATAAATATAACTAAAATGAAAAGTCATTGAATGAATCGATACTAGGATTGAGCAGTTCTATGTTCCGTATAGGTTCCATTCATGATAATAGGTTTATCATTTTTTGGAATTTGGAACCTACCCTATCAAGGTTCGAGTGTCGGTTCCAAAGTTTACTCAGGTTCTACTTGTATTATTAATTAAACAATTGTAGTGAATCATCATCTTTAATGATCATCACTTACTACTATGATCAACTAATCACAACTTATATTTAGACACACGAAGAATATAAAACATTAACAAGTCATAAAATGAAAACTCGGACTAGTGATTCTAGATTATACACTCATCATCTAAAGCCATGAAACACAGCAGGATCATGCGAAAATATAAACCAAGAAAGAACACAAAAAACTTATTTTTATTTCAGGTTTCAGATTCCAGGTTCCACCTATCCAGAACTCGAAAGCCCCTTAGGGAAATGCTAGGGTGTTTGGTGGCCGAAAGCCCATTGAGAATGCTCAAAGCTCAAAGTTGGTCTGAACCAACTTTGGGCTTATGTTGAAACTAATTTTTTTCTTTTCAAACTACCCTCACTTATTCTTTAATATTCCAATTTTGCCTATTGTTGTTACTATTCATCTTCTTCGTGAAAGGGCGACCGACGACATCGGATCTAGACGGAGAAGGGCCAATGAGGGGTCGTTCGACCACCCAGGCTCCGTCAACTTGGATCGCGCCTGTCTAGGCTCCGTCAACCTAGGTCGCGCGACCCCAGGCACAACACAGGCCGACGTCGTCTGAGGTTGCACAACCCAGGCAACGACGGCATGGGTCGAGTGACCCCAGGCGACGGTCGCCTGAGGTCGAGCGACCCTAGGTGATGACGACATGGGTCGAGCGACCCCAGGCGACGACGCCTGGGTCGCGCGACCTCAGGCCTCGTCACCTGAGGTCGGGCAACCCTTGGTGAGAGCCGCTTGGGTTGCACGACCCTTGCTAAGGGTCGTCCGACCTCGGGCGACGGCCGTCGCCACCAAATCTGGCTTGCCGGCGATCACCCAACCTCAAGCGATGGCCATTGGCGCCAAATTTGGCTCGTCGGTGGCCGTAGCCTTTCACTGGCTTCGGTGAAGGGTAACCTTTTTTATAATAAAAAAGAAAATTCCAAAGCCCTTTGCAAAAAAAAAAAAAAAGCCAAACACTACTTTGGCTAAAGTAGCTTCACAAAGAATTTTTTACTAAACACCATTTGTATATAACCAAGGGGCTTTAACCTAAAGGTATTTGCATTTCCTCGAAACTCATTTGCAGAGTTGAACCAAACGGGCCCCTAGTCCGGAACCGGTGACATGTTTTTTTTTTTTTTTTAGGCATGTAGTCTGTAATTTTACAGATAATGCACAAATCATAAACTACTGTGTCCTTTAGGACATCAAGTTCAGCACCCATTATAACGAAGCTGACTCACGAGTGGTATAATAGAGAGAAGAAAAGCTTCGAAGGGACAAAGATAGGCAGGACAAAGATAGGCAGCAGGAGCTCATTTGTGAACGGTGTTGAAGTAGAGATCGGGAGCAAGCGTCCAAGAGACAACAGTTCGAAAATGAGATCTAAACGCAACATCGAAAATAGTATACAAAGAACGCCAAAAAAAAAAAAGACATTGAATAGTTACCTCGAAGAGATGCGTTTGCGATCACAATTGGCCAAAAATAGAGCAAGAGAGTGAGGCAAGAGTCGAGACTCAAGATGAGACCGCAAGAGGGAGGTGTCGAGTGAGAGGGGCGCGAGCAACTCAGGTGAGAGGATGGCTTCTGAGAGTTGAGTGAGAGAGTGATTGAGAGTCGAGCAAGTGTAGGCGTCCAGAGGGATGCGCGCGACTCAAGCGAGAGGGTGGCATCTAAGGGGGCAAATAATAAAATTTCTCTTCCCTGGCCTTATTTCTGGTTAGAAATATTTCCCGGATGAGTTTCTGAGTAAAAGTAGTGTTTAATAACGGCACAAAAATTATGTTCTCCGAATAGAAATTCATTAGATATGTTATTTTTAAATTTCTGTTTCCGACGGCTAACTGGCAGAGGCTGAAGGTCCGCGAGTGGGCGGCAAATGGGGTGGGCGGTGGATGGGGTGGGCGGTCGGTGGACGATGGGCAGGCTGCGGCAGCGGCAGAGTATAGGGCGGGCAGGCGGCGACAGACGGGGCGAGCAACTGGAGGAGGACGGCGGGGGGCGGCGGCAAACGGCCGTCCCTTTATTGCCAACTTTTCCTTGATAATAGTGAAGGGATCACTGTGGTGTGGAGAAGGAGCAGTTTGACGAGCTGACAGTTGGAATCCTCCGAGTGCAAAAAGGCGACGTGGACAGGGCCCTAGCGGTGATCAAATCACATGCCACCCCTTTATCGCCAACTTGCCATTTTCTATTTGGATTGAAAACTCCTGCGAATTGCATTTTGCCCCGCCCCCCTAAACTCTTCGTATATTGGTAAATGGCTCCGCAGTATCTAGGAGTGATCGGTTTTCGAGTAGACCAATACTCCAGAACCAGGAACTGGCCCATCGGATCCTAAAATCGGACTAGACTGGACTAATTGGTCCGGTCCTATTCCTAAATGGGCCAATGGAATCGGTAACATGTTCTAATTTTTGTTTAAAATGTAGTCCATAATTCTTTATAGGTAATTTACAAATCACAAACCATTGTGTCCTTGAGGACATCAAGTTCAACGACCCATATAAAGAAACTGATTCACGAGTGAAAATAATAGAAGAAGAAGGAAAAGTAATACAAACAATCTCTGAACTTTGACTCAGTGTGCAATTTGATCCATGGTCTTTTAATTTATTCAATATAGTCCTTGAACTTTAGCTTAATGTTCAATTTGGTCCTTGAACTTTTAATCTGTTCAATGTGGTCCCTAAACTTTTAGAACATGTTCAATTTAGTCCTCGAACTATTTGAAAATCTTCAATGTAGTCCTTCCATTAATTCAAGTTCAGGGACTACATCGAACATTTTCATATAGTTTAGGGACTAAATTGAATATGTACTAAAAGTCTAGGGACCACGTTGAACATATTAAAAGTTTAGAGACCAAATTAAACATTAAGCTAAAGTTCAGGTATTACATTGAACAAATTAAAAGTTCAGGGACCAAATTACACATTAAACCAAAATTCATGGATTGTTTGTGTCATTTTCCCAAAGAAGAAAAGCTTCGAAGGAACAAAGATAGATAGAACAAAGATAGCTAGCAGGAAAAGAAATGACCCAAATTTATAAAATGATCTCAAATATAAACAGAACAAAGATAGTTAGCAGGAGCCCATTTGTCGATGATGTTGAAGTAGAGATCAGAAGCAAGTATCCAAGAGACAACAGCAACACAATAATCAGTTCGAAGATGAGATCTAGATGCAGCATCAAAAATGGTGTACAAAGAAAGGCAAAAAAAACAAAGCATTGAATATTTACCTCAATAAGATGTGATTGTGATCACAATTGGCCAAAAATAGAGCAAGAGAGAGAGGCGAGAATCGAGACTCAAGATGAGACCGCAAGAGGGAGGCATCTAGCGAGAGGGGCGTGAGTAGCTTAGGCAAGAGGGTGGCGTATGATAGTCGAGCAAGAGAGTGACCGAGAGTCGAGTGAGTGTAGGCATCCAATAAGAGGGATGCGAGCGACTCAAGCAAGAGGGTGGCCTCTGAGAGTCGAGTGAGAGAGTACGCCAAGCGAGAGAGTGCCTGAGAGTCGAGCGAGTGTAAGCGTCGAGAGAGAGGGACAGGAGCGACTTTTTTTTTTTGTCGGTCCTACTCTATCTCTCACTCACGATACACACTCATACTTGCGCCCCACCTTTTGCAGGGCGTGGGCGTCGAAACCCACATCTTAAACTACACGGCTCCACCCCTACCCCGCTTGCGAATGTGGGAATTCGAACTCCCCACCTCCCCCTTCTCAAGTGAGAATTGAGCGAGAGAGTGATTAAGAGTTAAAGTTGAGCAAGCAAGAGGCGGATATAGGATTTGTGGATGGAGGAGGGTCCGGAGGACAGCGATTGTGATAGGAGTTAGGAGGGTTTGCGAAGGATTTTTTTACATATTTGTCGAAAATCAAAAAAAAAAAAAATTGATCCAGTCCTAGTTTGCGGTTCCACATGTGGAACCAAATACGGATAAAAAATTTTAAAATTGAAAATCGGACTGGTGCCATTAGAATAACCGAAACTGGCCGATTCGATCTAGTTCGAGCAGTTCTTTTTACTCACCCATAAAGGTATTTCAATTGGCACCCTCACATTTCAAGACGGATTGGAAGTATGTTGTACTGGTCGACTCCGGCCCCACGTGTCTCCATAGGTCTCGAGGAGACATGTTGAGATCACATAAAACGCATCTTATTTGTGTAATTAGGTCGCACTCATGGAGAATGATCACTTTCATAGCATTTTGTCGTGTTGATCATGCGAAATGCGAACCGTCGAATTGAAGAGATTATGTGCCGACTCTTGTATGAAAAAGCCCATTCTACCGTCAAATCAAAGCAACTCACTATCAACCGTCGGGTGGTGCCACGACAAAATCGCCGTGAAACCAACTGCATTAGGAGAAAGGCCCGAAGAGAACATGATGATTGAGCAAGTGTTGAGTGCACTCGACTCATGTCACGTCAAATCAAATAGCTCTCACGTGGGGTCGATCTTATCCAACGATGCAGGTTACCTTGGCTCACCGGTATCGGGTGTAGCTAAGATTTCTAGCGATGAAAGTCTATCCGATCTAGATATATATTAAGTGGACCTTTTCCACCGGTGAAGCGGCTCGCTAATCACAACATACCGAAGTCACAAATCAACAAATTTGAAACGAAGTATCCCCCATGCTTTTGGGACACACACAAGACGCGTCGAATCAACAAAAAGGGAACACAAAAATATACACGAAACAACAGTCCGAATGAAGAAAGTATCATGATTCCATCCGACTCAAAAGTCCGGCAATTGCCGCGAAGCCGCCAATTTCTTATAGACCTCCATGACGAACCTTCCGTCGACCTCTTCCCCGGTCGAGACCATGGATATCTTCTGGCTCTCCTTGGCGACCTGCTTTCCCCGGAAGATGCCGGCGCTGCTGCTCGACTTGACGACGTTGCACGCGAGGCCGATCATCATTTCGATGTAACCGTTGTGGAACTTGGACAGCAGCTTCACGGGGGAGAGCGAAGCAGCAGCCATCTTCCACTGGAGCTTCGGCACCGTCCGCACCTTCCAGTGACGCTGGCTGCCGCTTCCGCCGAGCCTCATGACCTTCAGCTTGCTTCTTTTGGCAGGGCTACCGGATAGTTTTTGGTACCTTCTTCTCCTCCAGTACCTCTTCAGGCTTTCGTAGTATGCAGTCGGACGAACCATCTCCATCTTGTGTTTATGTGTGGGTGTGTGAGAGAGAGAGAGAGAGAGAGAGATTGGAATGATGAGTGGAGAGGTATGCGAAAAGGGTTTGTATATATAGGAGGTCAGACGCAAATGGGTTTGAACGAAAGCATGCTGATACCAGGCTTCGGCAGTCCAAAGAAGGAACAGTGGAGGAAAGGAGGGAAAGAGACGCGTATCAGAATTTGTTCTGTTGGTCAACATTGGCTGTTTTTTGACCGGCAATTAGGAAAAGCTCGTTATGAATACATTACAACGACGGTCCAGACACTCCATTATCCGCAGGCTCCTGTATGGTAAACGTGTTATATTTTTTTTTACTCAAACTTGAGTTCAAATTACTCATCTTATGCAATCGTTTGAGGGTATATATACATTAATCGGTTTCATCTGTTTCACGAAAAATAAACGATATGAAAAATATCCTTTTAAAAATGATCACTCGAAATAATTAGTCATGTTTAAACATTTTCGAGGACAATAAGATATTTTTGTTCATTCATTCTTGCAAGCGGTAGAAGCAATCGCACCTTATATGTCTAGACATCTGCTCGGTTTGCTTCTAGAAACTTGCCAAACTATCTAAATCGCATCTATATAAAGAGCACATAACTCCCGATAACAAAAAAGCCGCGAGATAATCGAACAAAACCTTATCATAACAGCCAACAGCAAAGAAAGATAACAGCATAGCGATTAAATTATTAAGTGGACCGCACCATTCTTGGTCCTTCTTGATGGTGTGATTGCCTCTAATTCGACTTCATGGAAAGAGCTGAACGCGCGTCCAAACAGAACACCCCTTTTTTGTCAAACTTCTGTCCATTCTTGGAAATTGCCTTATGGGCAAGGCGTAGGGAAAAGGGTTATCTAGATTGGGTTGAGATTGACCAAGTCCGGTCTCAATCTTCTTCAAATTCATTATTGGAGGCTGTGAACTGTTGCGGCTATAGTAACCCCCGAGTGTTTACTTTGTCAACGAAAACATCCCCCCCACAATACGGTCAACCAACTGAGGCCAGTACACCGGTCAGTACTGATGAACTTCTCGAAGGTCCTTACTGTTGTACGGGCGGACGTTTCCCATGCCCGTGGGAGGCAGATGAAGAAAGTCTCGGGGTCGTGTTCTAGATGCGACAGAGCGTGCTTGAATGGATCATGGGAATATGATCGACTGTACTCCAGAAATAACAAAGATGAAAAGCCTGTTTCATGCCACAAAGTGATCCTCTTGTAACATTGATTGATCTCGGCTCGATGTTGTTCTCATGTCGGTATCACATCCTGCTACTAGAGCACATCGAGCTCGTTCTTTTCAAATGTCTGAAGCTGCCAATACAATAATTTTCCGGCATCAAATGCGGAAGATTTTCGGCCATGCTGCGCTCAGTTCCTGCACATCGTTCGGTTAATGCCCACATCGCGTCTTTGTGAGGGTTGTGGCTGGCCTAATTTCAAACAGCTGAGTTTTTCTTTGAGATTGAGCGGTAACCTTTGATTGTGTAAAATACCATATGCACTCTCTCTACCTTCGAAAATTGGATTGTCTCAAATGGCACTCGGTATTTAACTATAACTAGTTCGTCTCCTAAACCTAACAAATTACTGTTAATTTTTCCTAAATCCACACCATCAATAGCCAAAGTAACATTTCACCAGTAGTGTATGGATTGCATATTCTCGTCTTTTAGGATAATTAGCTAAGGCAAGCAGTTTTGCGTTGACTTGCACACCCCATAGTTCAATTATATTCCTTATAGGGTGTAAATGTTTTGACTGCTGGGTACCAAGCTATGCCTTTGCATCTGACTGCTTCATTTTGCACTTATCTTGGCTCCTTGACCGTGTAAATTTATACACTACTGCCAAGATTTGACATTCACCTCCCTCACTTGCATTCCTACAACTAGGCAAGATACGTTGACCCTAAGATGATGCCTTTGTACCGCGAACATTTGATTCAGAAGCTACCAGATTAGAAGACAACCAGAACCTAGCAGCCGAAAATTACACTATGCACTACCAAGCACCCAAAGGAATTAAGTACCACCATTTCCTTTCCGTTTTGTACTTTTCCATATGTACTGATGAAAACTAAAGATTCTACATGTACTTGAAGTTGAAGCCCAAAGTCAGTGCCTCTGATTGCTCTCCGCCCCGTCTAGCATGGGGTTTGAATCCCTAAATGTTGCCACTTGACGTTTCCATTCCATATTGCGAATCAATATACACAGTCTCGAGCTCTGAGTGCTGTACTCTCAGATGGTCTGTGCTTGTCGATGACTGAATGCCATTTCGAGAGTCTGCCAACATCTGAAAGTAAGCATGAGGCCCCCAACCTGCAATTAAACATTGACAATCATGAACATAAGCAGATGTCTCTATACAGTAACATGCATCCTTATAATCTGATGACAATATAAATTAAGCGTAAATCCTGACACTCTGATTGAAACTCCTAATCCTGAGCTGTTGATATAAAGAGGAAGACATGACCAGCAAATGAGGATCAAGGCAGCAGCCAACTTATCTAGGAAAATGATCTATGTTCATAAGTGTATGAGCAGGAGGAGTTAAAATTACAGTTTTGCAGCATTGTAAGCAGAAGACTTCCATTTATGATGATCTAGTCTAGTACGTAAATGAACTGGAAACAATGCTTTCGCGTAAGTCAATCAAACAGACTGTTTATCACAGGAAATCCAATATCATATGTTAAATCAAATTACTGAGATCTACCGACTTCTCGGATAATTGCACAGAAATTGAGACACAAATCAGTAACCAATTATGCCCAAAAGGGCATGTTCATATCCTAAGGTACTAACAGAAAGACAAATGTATTATGCCGCTTGCTAGGCAATACGAAAACAGAAAGAAACAAAAAAAAAACCATAGGTCACTCAAGTGTCCCTATAAGTAGAAAAGCTGGACGCCAATTGCAAAAAGCTTCCATAGGGTTTAAAAGGGAGGCCAATCAAGAAAATGATTTTCATCAGACATCAAATTTACATAAACATGTGTGGCACTTCTTTTGTTTTTTCCTTCTTTTGGTGCGCGGAAAACGAGAATTGTACTTCAAAAGTAATAACACACTAAGACGAGACAAACAAGCTACCACTTTTAATAATGTTATAATTAAATCTTCATGTCATATGCCTTTCCTTTTCCTTAGCATAAGCAAGCAGTACTCGCAGCTTACAGAAAGAAGAGTACATTCCTGTAGGCATCTGTGTTTTTTCCAGTTGCTATCTTCACGAAAGAAAAGGTTATCTACAATAGATTAGACAATTTCAGAAAAGAATAAAGAGAGTACCATGTAGATCATACGGAGGCGGAAAGAACTGCAAGTAACAAAATGAAGCAACGATTGTCCCTGTATGGATTAAAAAGAACGGTCACTTATTTAAGTAGATGGCTGGCACTGCAATAATTAAAAAAAGTTCAATCAAAGTTGGAAAGAAACCTAGAAGAGCCCCAGCAAATGCATCTTGCCAATGATGCCAATGGTTGTCAACTCGAGAAACTCCTACAAGAGCTGCCGAAAGGAACGGGAGGAAAACAATACAAAGCTTCGCAACGTGGCCTCTACGATCGAACGCCCTGATTTTCCCTGACAAATATCACGCAAGAAAACCCAGTCCAGAAAAGCACCTGCCAAACCAGAGCTCCCTCAAAATGAATATTGTGTCGCAAAAAGGAGACAAAATCATTTGCAAAATCAAGTTTGAAACATTGTTAATCTGATTTGAATTGCGTACGTGTCATTTGTTTACCTTATAGTGTAGTGTACTCTAATGATGCATCGATTACGTTTAAAGTCAATCAATCAACAATTCATTTATTACATTTTCCAAATTTCCCTAAAAAATTTGGTAGTTGGTAATTTTTTGAGTATTTTGAAAATTAGATATTTTTCATAACCTGGTCAGCAGATTTAATAGGGTCATCAAAGTTTACTGGTCCTTCTAGATTTTCACTTTCTCTGGATGAGGAGACATACTAGCTCAAAGAGGTACCCAGTTCCCTATTATTGCTGTTAATGTTTGACCAATGATGATTCAAAAAGAATCATGCTCCTAGAAAAGCAGGTCAGCATCTTAAATCAAGTAAACTTTTTCTCATCATACAATGATGGCATCGACCAATCAAATGTAACAAGTAAAACTATTCAGAAACTTGATTCTTCTATGTTGTCCTTGCTTTCATCGTGAAGACTCATAAATAGTGCAATGGCTTGGATAAAATGGCAGCATGCGAATATAGAAACATGCCGGACATCTCTTTAGCCAATTCCATTGTCACAGCCAACGGCATGGATCCTCTCGCTTAGAGCCTCTATTTGCGTTCACTTTAATTTCAAATTTCAAAGAACTATAAAAATTTTAAAAAAAATCAGAATGAACAAAACAATCACAATTTGACTATTTCATTGGGATTTTGTTAAAAAAATGACTCCAGAGCACTTCTTAAGCTATCAAATGAGCACATATTGCAATTTTCAATGCATCAACTACCCTCGTGATATGCACAATCGATGCTCTGAAGATCGAATATTTCGTCATTAAGCATGTTTAACAAATGGCCTTGTTAACAAGACCTTTCAATTATTACTAGACATGCTTAGCTACCATCAAAGTTGGCATTTAATAAAAAAGGCAAAGTAAATACTAATCCATTGTCATTCTATCTTCTAAAGTTTCCGTTATCCATAATCTGATTTAAGATCTTGTTAGGGTACACATTGTTTGGAATCAGGTTGTTTGAGAGTACAAAATTTACCCATGCCAGTCCATGTCATACTGCATATGGACAAATCCAAAGTTTCCTGGCCTTAACTTCAGTCAACAATATATTCAAAAGACACAGATTTCTTTTAGATGCTTACATGAGGTATGCCGGCCGCTTGGAAAACTTTTATATCCTTCTTTGATGACAGCCTTATCTCCGGTACAAATTACATCCCCTATGACAGGTTCAAACAC